GATTCGGTAAAAACGCATTTTTGGTTGTCAGTAGTAACAAAATGATATAGAAAAGTTACTTTGTTAAACTTCTTATCTTCTTTGTCTTAAAGGTAAAGACTGATTTTGAATAATTGGCGTTTTCATACGTTTCCAGTCACCTGAAAGGTTGTGACACAATCTTTTATCCAACACCCTCTAATCCTTGCGGTTTAAATCCGTCCCTGGGACACAGCGCCAAAATGAAGTGTCTAGTGGGGGTTGGGGGCGGATACACAAGCTCTCTGATCTATAAAAGTGGGAAGAGAACCTACCTTTCCTTGAATTCAAAATTAATCATGTCTATACTGTAGAGATTGCCCCTCAGCAAAAAATATCGTTTGTTATTGTTTAAAACTGTTAGAAAGAATGAGGTGAATCATTGATAAGAACCCACCTATTCCCTGTATCTTATCTTAGTTGTAAATGGCCAATGCAAGGTGGCGTGAGTGAGAACTGATAGGATGAAATACACCAACTGAAAAGTTGGGCAGGCAATTGGGGCGAAGCCAACAAGTTTTTTCGGAGGGGTAGTATTGCCTTTTGCCGACAAAACGGCGTGTTTCACTCTTTTTGGGTGTGGTCATAAAATAAATCACTTTACATGCTGCTTTTACGTGTTTCTAACTTATTATTCAGAATTCTAAAATTTAGATTTTTAATTTTTGTGCATACTTTGAAAGTTTAGCTTAGTTTTGGACGTTACAACTGTTTCAAAAAAGTTACAATTATTCTACAGGGTGAGAAAAAATTTTGTGCCGACGGACAAAGTGTAGGGAGTAAGCGCCCTCCTTTAGCGACGCCCCTGGCAGGCAATGTCGAGTTGAGGTCGGCTTGTAAACTGAGCGAAGTAAAGGAGCTCGGTGCTTCTTATTTGAAAGCAAGAACTTAAGTAAGGTTATTGAATTTTTAAAAATTTTAAATCTTGCAATTGATGCAGATTTTGATACAAATTTATAGGATCAATTGATAGCAATTGATCCTATCAATGCAAATGAATCAATACCATGTTGATGATATACCTTTAATAAATACGAACATACGCGATGACAATCTAGGCCAAAATGCTGTTTTCAGGTCAGTTTTGCATTTCAGGTAAGATTGTGTGGGCTTAAGAAAACGGTTATAAGTCGAATCAGCAAGGCTTGTTGATCGAATGGTAAATGCAGGGAAGCCTGCTCTTAAAGAGGGCAAGGGGGAAAGCGCCAAGGAAAAGGGCAAAACAACAACAAAACGAAGAAAAATGCTCGCTTTCGGCAGGGCAAGGGGGCCATTTGGCAGGGCAAGGGGGTTCCACTAATTTTGATGACAACGATCTACGTCAATTTTCTTGTGTTTTAGCTGACCATCTGCAGAGCTCAAGCAATAACAATATTTTGAAACTTTCAATCATTTTCTATACAATTGACTTGAAAGCAGGTACGTGGAAACCAGATGGCCACCAGGGGCACAGCCCACCAGCTTTCATAAAAGCGATCTTTTCTTGGAAATCCACTTCTAGAACTTTTCAAATGTGTCCTTTTAAATGCTAAGTGTCCCTTACTGCAATGCTTCCAGCATTCCTGCTTGAAAAGTGTTTTAGTGTTTGGACCCGAGGCCCTAGTAGTCTCTCTACGACTTGAATACTATAAAAATGTTAGGCCATTGTTTCAGGATACATATGCATGGTATCTCGATTAATTTTGTTTGAAAGATGCACAGAGACGGTCTGTATAGTTAATGCGGTGTTTGTTATCCCCAGTACTGTACTATGCAACTCTTTGCAAATATTGAGGCTCGGTCTCTGTTATTAAAGAAAGCTGCCTCCAGTTAATCCTTATTTAATATGTTGTTTGATTTCTTATTTCGCGTTCTACAGGGTTGTGGCCTCCTTGTTTAAAGTGTAACACTTCTTTTCGAGTGTACGCAATCAACATAAGATTAACAACCATAGTAACAGCATTCATGTTATGTAAACTTTATTTACTTTATTTCTAGATCACATGAACACACTAGTTATTTTTCAATAAAGCTGTATTAAGCATTGATAAACAAAGTATTTTGGATTAGATATTCGTTGATTTACCAATCGGGAAAACTGGTATTTTTTAGTCTGGTATTGTTTTTAAAAACTCTAGAAATCTAGGCCTGCAGTTTCATAGTTTTTAGCAACTAAGTTTCATAGAATTAATCAATTCTATCAGAGGATATCTTAGTCCTCGATGTTTTGTAAGTTCTTTTACTTTGCCAAGTCTTGAAATAACCAAATTTGCTGGGAATGCCAGACCGTGAGGGTTAAGCTTTTTTACATTTCACTTCCATGTTTCTTAGAAAATTATTTGCTCTAATTTTTACAAGTTCCGGGAAAAAATGGTAAAAACCAAATGTCATTGCATCAATCATGTCATTCCAACCTGCAGTTGAAGCCGTTGTCATTTATCATAGTTCAAATCAAGTTAATATGAATATAACAAAGTCCTTGTGACTTTTCAGCCCTTATTGTTACGACGGTATCAAGCCATTAACGTCTTGGTTTTGAACTCAGACCAATTCTTCACGCTTTGATCATAGTCAATAGAAAAAGCCGTATTGACTATAGTCTATTGACCTCTTTTTTGGCTTTTCCTATTGCCCATGGTTGCAGTTGTTGTCTTGGACAGTAATCCTGGATCAGTGCGGACCCTGGGTCAATGCAGATCTTAGATCAATCCAGATCCTGGATCAATCCAGATCGATTTCCATTATAAATCGACTCAAAGGTGTCTTGAGCTACCACAGACCTGCTTACTACTAGAGCGGTCCAAGCAGTGAATTCTCCTTCAAAATCTTCTAGCTGCAGGTTTTGAATTCCGCAAAGAGTATTCTATGGAAACAGTGGCAGATTTAGGGGGGGGGGGGGGCAACTAGGAGCAGTTGCCCCTCCCTCGACGAATTGAAGCAAGTCTGGCGCCATTTTTGGAAATTGTGCACCCCTTTGAAAAATGAGAATCAGGCGAAAAAGTTTCTGAGACCGATGGGTTAATTTGCTTCAAGGATTACCTCAAAGTTATGTTGTTTATTCCGAAAATGGATCTGAAATTGTTGTATACAGCGTACTCTCATCACCAATTTTTGAAAATTTTTCAGCGCCCCCATTACCGACTGCCTAATTATTGAAAATATCTGGTTCCTGTGAATTTAAAAGAGGGGAACAAAGTAAGTTTTAAAATTTGGAGGAATAAATTTTCATTATAGAACTTCAGATTTTAAAAGTGATGCATCAAAAGATTCATAACCGTCTCTTAATACTTCATGTATATAACATAGAAAATTATCCTCTTTTGTAAAATGGGAAATATTCTTTGTCAAGAGTGGAAATTGAAGTTTTAATCAAGATCTCGAGTCGGTGTACGATAAAACACTACTTTTCTTCAAAACATCCAACGTTGCATTTCGTTCCTACAACTTGCTCGGCTGTTTTTTGTGGTTATACTATATTTTCCTATCTCTGTGGGTTATACCGACACCCGCAAAAGCTCTCTGTTACCCAGACCCCTTTAGTTGTGAAGTTACAAATATTGTCATCATTGAGTTTTGTCGCGAGTTTGTCTCTTAACGATGCTCGGCAGACTGCATTTGTGATAAGGTTTCTTTGCCTCGTTTTCGTAAACGTTGAACAATTTCTAAGAAGAGCTTTGTCGTGTTTTTATTGTTTAGAAATTAAGGGTGCTAAGTTAAGAAGTTATGGGTGTTGTCCGGAGCAAAGATGGACACTTTTCTTGACTCTGCGTGTAGCTAGAAATATTTTGCTTTGAAAGAAAGACTCTAAGGCCAAATATTGCTTCAAATTAAAACGCTTTTCAACTGGAAGTAACATTTGTATTCTGCCCTTCGCCATCTTTTTACTTGTCATTGAAATAATAGGCATAACATCAAAGTTGCTTCCCTTTCCCGGCTTTGAAATTCAGAGCTTAGTCCATTATAAAAAACATTGTTTTAATTCCAATTTCATGTTAGTGTGTGTACTGATTTATGGAGTTACGCCACTCAAACGTGGTTTCATTCATTCCAAGGTTGATCAGGCTTCTTTTTTTCTATCTCCTCTAGTAATATAACTTGGTTGCCCTTAGAAAGTTGACCACAAATCTTTCTTGTTTTATCGTATTGCAGGAACTTCCCTTTAGTTGTAATTTGCTTGCTCTATAGCGTGTTTCTTCATCATCTGTGATTTAGATTTTCTGTTGTCGATGAAGCAGGTTTTCGCCCACTAGACCGCGATGACGTCATTTTCGTGAATCTATGTACGCATGCTGGCTTTCTATTCTTAGCCTCATGTAAGACCTTTAAAGTTGCAGACCTTGTGGATATAGCAGTTTGTGCAATGACGTCATTTTGCGGTGTTTCAAAAACAATGTTCTTTCTCATGTCACGCACTTTAATTTCCTCAGGGGGGGATGTTTACTTCAGCGTTCAGCTAGAGTAGCATTGACATTCAGCTACAGTAGACCTGTTCAAACTATTGACTTGTTTTTATGAGTGTTTTATTCCACTCTGTAGTCGACCGTTTTATCGTCACTGTTTTGTTTTATTGCCAGCACCCCAAAAGCCCTAGCTCCTAGCACGATTTCAAATGGGCTCCGTTAGTCTATAGTATCGCCACTGTATCACCTTTAAATGTGAAAAAGAAAACAAGTAATTTTTGTCATAATTTTGTCAAGTGTCATAAAATTTTAGCGCATTTTCTAAAATGCCAACCAAATCAAACAGGATAAAAAAATGCAATGTTCAGGCAACAATTCGATTCGATTGCTTTGTTCAAATAAGTAAGTAATAGTTCTTTAAAGGCTCTTGTGCAACCGGCATGCCTTGCGACTATATTTTTAAAACTGGCCTAATATCCTAATATTTAATTATCTGCTCGTGATCTTGCACTTACTTGAGTTGTTCGTTTTCATATAGATGTCTTATTTCGATTAATGATGCAGTAATATATATTTCATATGTTGTTTATTTTTGACACTTAGATCGAAAGAAATTATCCGAAGAGCCATCAAAGACAATGATTTCCTTGGCAATCTTGAGCAATCACAAATACAGGAGCTGGTCGAATGCATGTACCAGATGGAGTTCAAGAAGGGGGATTTCATTATTCGAGAAGGCGAACCAGGATCTCATCTCTATTGCATCGAAGGTGAGTCACAAGTCAATATATAATGTTAATATGCTGTTGCAGAAAACTGATATTTTCAATTTCAATGAGAGCTGGCAAGATCTTCATTTTTTCGCCTTCATTTTTGTGATTTTTCGTTTTTAATTTCCCGAAAACACTATTGCTTCTTTAGCATATATTGTAAAATTCTAGAAAAATCTCGAAAAAGCACATAGTAGTCGTTTTTTTGGAGCCTTGTTTTCCGGTGGAAAATAGAATTTTCATTGACTTTCCACAAGTTTAGCTGTGAAGTGTGCCTGCTACCTCGTCAATCAGCAGAAAGACAGTATCATTAATAGACCGGCAGCGGTTTATTGTTCAAAGGCCTTTTACAATGATTCGATTCATTTTTCAATTTCATGACTTCAACAATTTATAAAATAACTTTTATAGTGAACCTTGGTAAACTTAATTATCGAATTATCTTAAAACTTGCAAAAAACAAAGCCAAAGATAAATCAGCAATCCCTAGCTTTCCTAGGTTTCACATTATATTGGAGTTTGAATTAAAGAGAAAATAAATTCGTAAATACATTTCTAGCTTAAATATTAACCAGAATTGGAAATAGAAATCCATTTGGGCAATTGTCGAAACACTTTGCTGTTTGATTTTGTTTTTATATAATATGAAGTTAAGGCGCTTTCTGCACCAGTTCTAAAAGTGTTGCAAAGCTTTGAATTTTTTTACTTACGCATGCCTGTAAAGAAGTTACAATAAACCATAAAGGACAATTTTCAGCTTATTCCATCTTTATGTTGATCTTTAGTCCTAAGCTAATCGAAGTTTATATTTTGTCCTCAGAGGGCGCTTGTGAAGTCTCTAAAGAAGGAAAAGTTCTTGGTGCTATGGGACCAAACAAAGCATTTGGAGAACTCGCTATTCTCTATAACTGTACAAGAACTGCCACAGTCAAAGGTAGACAATTAACTTCAAACAATATTCATTGGATAGTTAACTTCAAACGAACTGTGCGAAAAGAAACCATTTTATATGTTTTCTTATTATCAAATTATATCTAAGAAATGCTGATAAAGCATTCTCAATGATGACTGGGGTGTTTTTGTGATGTTCTTCGAATTTTAAAGATCTTTCAACCTCCTTGTAGGCAGTCAATGGCTTAATTATGTTCTGTTTTTTGAGGTATCATCAAAGACCGCTACTTCCTTGTAGCTGCTGCGTTGTAAATATCTCTGCCAAGTTTTCTATCGCTTGCGGTTCCGTTTTTTTCATGGAATTTCAAGATGGAAGTTATATTTCGCGCCAACATCTTAATCACTGATTTATGGTTATACCTTCTTGGTCAGCACTTTCCTTGAAAACTTTGTTAATGCTAATGGTCTTTTTCTTGAATTTCCAATATCAAAGTTCTAATGACACATGTTTCCTAAGGTTTCAGTCATAACTCTGTCCATATATTTCCGCTTCCATTAATATTACCAAATTGTTTGACGGTTTCTTGCAGCGGCCTCGAATGCAAAGCTCTGGGCGATCGATCGACAATGTTTTCAGACAATTATGATGAAGACTGGCCTTATGAGACAGCAAGAGCATATGGAGTTTTTGAAAAGGTCAGCTTGAATCTATTCTTATTTCAAGATCTTCTAACATCTAGGTTGTCTGCACCTGTTAATATAACAAAGTTCAGTTCCTTAATATATAAGCTGTTGTTTAAGAAATATTGTTTACATAACCCCGTACTATCTGATATCCAAATACAAATTTCTAGCTTTCTATTCAACCATCTCATTTCCTGTTTTAAGGAATTCTAGCCCAACTCAAGGCGACGTATAGCCAATGGGAAACTTGTTGTTTGTGTAAACGGTTTTAGCTGTCCTCTTTTACATTTTTGATTAGTAAAATAGCTTCGAGTGATAAAGATAACAATTTTTTTTCCGAAAAGATATTTCTTTCAAGTGATATGTTATATTTCCAACCGGGAAACCGCCGCTGGCATAATCTTTTTGATAAATATATACTTATTCTTCGTAAGTAAAAGGTGTCAGTTGCCAAAGCTTGAGTTCGAAGTTGTAAATAGATACTTTATAGACCGTGCTTGCATATATTATTCTGCCTTCTTCAGTCTAATGACAAACCCTTAGTATTTTCAATTCTTCTTAGTGTTCCACTTTTGCGAGAAGTTCCTGAAGAAACTCTAGCTAAAATCGCAGATGTTCTAGAAGAGGTTGGTATCAATCTATTTTCTCCGCTCTTACTTTTTATCCGATACTCTAAACTTCTTTTATTGATTCGTTTGTTTGGCTACGTAAACAATTTTGCTGTTGGCAGCCTTTTTCACGATGACTACTCTTAGCTACAATGTAAATATTTTTCAGAAACTGTTGCAGCTCTCCTTGATTGCTGCCTAAAGTAGAATCCATTAATAACAAATGTTAGAAATGAAAACACTACGGTAACCAAAGTCAGTTTCCTTTCTGCTTACAGATCAACAGTTCCATGTGTATATATTTTCTCTGCTCTTCAAAGGCTCTTGCTCAACCGGGGTACTTTGTAACAATATTTTCAAAAACGGCCTAACATCGTACTGCATTAAAATGCAAAATCCAGCCAATTTCTCCTCGCGTAAAAACTATAAATGCCATGAAAGATGTAATTAGGAGCTTTGTAATACTTAAGGATTGCATCTTTTGACGCTCCATGTCTAGATGCCATGTCATATATAGTACATATTTTATAAAATTAATGTTTTGCAAATACCAAGTATAATTCTAGAGGCACCTCGTTTCAAATAAAGTTAAGCAGTTTTTTGGCCTCAAACCACACATTTGCCTTTTTTCGTGTCACCACGTTTATTTCGCGTTGTAAAGTACTTTTTGCAATAGAATAAAAACCCTTTTTGGGGCATGACACAATCTGTATGGCCTAACCGATCAAATTTACATGCGCATTGTTAATGTTGATGTGTTAAATTTTCATATTAGGTTTTCTACGAAGAAGGAGAGTATATCATCAGGCAGGGTGCAAGAGGCGATACGTTTTTTATTATCAAGAAGGGACAGGTATGCTTCTTCACTGTGTTTTATAGCTTTTCTTGTACGGGTTTTTATTGCCAGAGAATCTGATATGTTCCGAGTTAGTAGCGTTATTAAAGCTGCCTATTGACAGCAAGAGACAGTCAAGAACCTCCCTTGATTCTTTCTTTTCTTTTCTTGTAATCAATCGACCAAGGTTCTAATCACGGAGAAATTATTGATTGTCCTTTGAATTATTGGCTTTTAAACAAACTTCCTTCAACAACACTCAGGAATAGCTGAACAGATAACGTTTTGATCAAATGTGTTTGATTACGAATTTACTTTTTTCATGCCATACATCAAAATATAAATAATTTTGCTTACACGTAGGTTGACGTCACTCAACGTGCTTCGGTACATAGCGATCCTACGTTTGTTAGATCATTAGGAAAAGGATCCTATTTTGGCGAAAAAGCTTTACTTGGGTGGGTACACTCTTCGAATCTATTTTTGCATGATTTAATTCATTTATAATTTAAAACATTTATTCTTATCTTTCTTTACATTGAATTTTCGATTTTCTAATATAATTATGGTTTTTCGGTTATCTTTGGTTAATAACAGATAAATTAAAAATCCCAATATTCTATTCGTCTAGAAATTCTTTTTGAACTTTTCTTTTCCTTTGCAGAGAAGATCTAAGGACAGCAAATGTCATCGCGGGAAAAGCTGGTTGTCACTGCCTAGTAATAGACAGAGAGTGAGTTTTTTTAATCGAAATATTTGTAACCATTTTATTACCAGTCGGTCTGATAGTATTAACGCACTCATCTAGACCCAGTCTCTGGTTTGATGCTTGCCTTTTTTCAACCTATAAGGGTTTTTCAACCAACGGTTTAACTCACATGTGGCTTTTTCACTTCCAAATCATATTTACAGCGCGCCTATTTGAGTATTTAATTTTAGATGCAATAAATCTTCCCTATAAAGAAACATCTTTAAATCTGCAGACTGAAATATGTGGCAAATCGTTTCCAAATCACATTCCAGATCCATTTCAGATTCCATTCCAGATTCCGTTCCAGTTTACGTTCCAGGTTCCGTTCCAGATTCAATTCCAGATCAAATTTCAGATTCAATTACAGATTTTGTTCCAGATTTTAGTTATGCGATGTTGCAGCGTATTTATTAAACTTGACACATTCTCGTTATAACCATGCCTTTAATGAGAAGATGTTCCTTGCTCGCATTTTTTGAAACTGTGAAGATATATATACTTATATTTTTATCTTTTTAAGGGCCTTTTCGAAATTCATCGAAAGCCTGAGTGACATAAAGCAAGAAAAGTATGATGCCGAAGACAAGAAAAGGGGAGTCGATCACAAAGTCATCAGGTTTTGATGCGTTGCATTATCTTCACTGTAGCGCTAACCTTAAGCTTTCGTAATATTTTATGTATATAATTTTCCATTTGATAGCTCGATGCCCAGCAACTAGTTCTTTTATCAAATCAAAATTGTTTGCATTCCCTTTGAGCCTTCCTCAATACCTTCAAAATCTAGATTAATGGAACCTTCGTTAACATTTGCATCATCCCTTTGACCTTTGCCCTATTGGGGTCATTCCTTTTGTGTATCATTTTCTTGCTTTAATCAAAATCTAATGTTAAATTTTAAGCTACACTACCTGCCTAAATTCTAGGTACACCAAGGTCAGTTTTCAAAGGCATATTCAGCCGTTCCCTTTCCCCCTTTTAATAAATTTGGTTTACTACAAAACGACGTAGGGGATTAGGAAGAACGCTATTTTCTGCGACTTCTATGTTATTTTTCTGAATTATCAACATTGTTTAGAGGGAAAAGGGGTGAGGATTATTCGGGAAAAAGTTGAATAATATACAAACATAGCCCAAGTTGCTGGTTGTTCCAAGTACTTTTTGCAATGATTGTAGATAGTTTCAAGTGGTACTTTGGAAAGTTGCAGCGTTTGCGGTTCTAGAGAACCTCTAGACTTCCTAATGGAGAGATCAAATCTAAATCGACAGTAATCGAGATTTTCAAAATTATCTTGCTGGCAGTCCCGTTAAATCGATAAAGTACATTTTGTTGTAACTATGTACTTTGGTTTGCAGTCAGAGTATGGCAACAGAGGTTGATGAATTCGCCGATGTCAAACTGGAGGACCTCAAAGAAATTGCAACTCTTGGTGTGGGCGGATTTGGCCGTGTCGAGCTGGTAAACTTTTTAATTGTTCGTTTTACCTTCACATCTAGGTTGGGATTTATTACACAAATAAGCTCAAAAATATTTTTATCCAAAATGTTTTAAGAAATGCTGTTGAAATCTAGTATCTGTATATGGCGTCAAATACAGAGGTCATTCCACTGAGCCAAACGACGCAACGAATGGATCGGTGACTGTTGAAGGTGTTTCTTCTGTTTCGGCTTTATAATTGTTCGCCAGAACTATATGATATACATATATATATACTGTAAGTTGCATGATGATCGTATTTAGCATGTAACTCGGAGTAGCAACTTAGTAGAATCGTCCTGTTCTATACACCAAATAGCTTGTACAGCTCAGTCTATATGGCACATATTGGAAAACAGTAATTTTCACATGTATATCTTGTATGTAGGTACAACTGGCCTCAGATCCAAAACGAACTTTCGCACTAAAACAGCTTAAGAAGAAACACATTGTGGAGACCAGGCAGCAAGATCACATTATGTCTGAAAAACGAATCATGTCTGAGGCTCATTGTCCATTTATTGTCAGGTAAGCATTTCCACTAAGGCCTCCGTTAGGACGGTTGAGCTGTTAGTCATTTCTGTTTTTTGGTTATACTGAAGAAGTTATAGAGGGATTGAATTTGCCTACAGTTTTTGGCACGTTTTAACTCTTTTTCTTTAAGAAAAATGTTTCAAATGGAGGATTATGTTTCCTATTGATATCGCATATTTATTCAAATCATTATCAACAGGATGTATAAGACGTTCAAGGATAGGAAGTATTTGTACATGCTTTTGGAAGTTTGTCTTGGTGGTGAATTATGGACTATTTTACGAGATCGGTAAGTCAGTTCGTTCCATTTTATCCTTAGCACGACTCAGCCCTAATGCGGTTTGCATTATGTATTTAAAATTTTTGACAGTAAAACTTGATAAATATATTAAGACACAAAAAAAATTAATTGAGTAATTAGGGAGGAGCATCATGTATCCTCGCTTCCATGCTAATTTCCAGACAGCCTCTTTTCTGTGTACGCGTATTTTACTGTTAGTTTTTCAAAGACTAACTTTGCAGTGTGGATATTTCACTAATTTATCTTGATATTTGTTTCTCAAATATTTCAGTGTAATGTATATCATATTACGCCTGGGAAATGGATTATAATGATAACAGTTTAATGGCTATAATATTTGCTGTTGTTCCCCTTTGTGAAGTTGCTGTAGTTTGAAATTCAAATCTGCTCATGGTACTGCAAATTTTGAAGATAATTAGAAAAGCGAGAGCATGGTACATTCAACTACTCCTCATTGATAGATCATTCATTACACACTTTAACATCCCGTAATATCATTTTTCTGTTGATGTGTCATTCATTTCTATGGTACAATGTTCGATTGAGCATGGACCATAGGCAATTGTTTTGGAATATTTTTGAGCGAAAACATTGCTTGTGTATACAGGGGCTCATTTGATGACAACACTACACGGTTCTACGTTGCCTGTGTAATCGATGCGTTTGGATATCTACACTCAAAAGGAATTGTTTATCGGGATCTAAAGGTAAGTGTTAATGTCTGCCGACAGCTTTTCACAGAACCTGTTGCAAAATGTATAAATGAGAAATTTTGTTGCGTCACAAGAACGAAGTTGGGGGTCTAAGAAAAAAGTATGTTTGAAGTACTTTGAAAAAATGTCTTTAAAAGTCTGAAAATTCAAACCAAGCTTGATTTAGAGAAAATTACCAATCTAATATCCTTTTTGGCCCCAACATTTGTCTTGGAGTCAAAACAGTCTGCACATACCCCCTTCTCAGCTGGCGTGATAATGATCTACGGATTAATGCGATTGCACTGTTGAACAGATTCGCTAAAATCGCATATTAGACGTGCAAGTTATTTCTTAGCGTTTTTGATAACCATGGCCAACCTTTGTCAAAAAGCTCCTTACATGCATTAAGCGCTCAGATATTTTTCAGCAGTCAGAAGATATAACTGAAATGTCATTTCAACTTCCTTAAGAACCGGTATAAGCCATTCTGAGACTGTCTTTGTCCGTTGTTTATTAAATGCAGCAACTGTATTTTTTATGGTATGTCAGATACATGCATGGGAAGACTTCACAGTCAGAAATTAACAGCAATGAACGATGAAAATAGGATAGTGGATGTAAGCGTTTAAAAATTCACGTAGACACAAAGACCAAGAGACCTAAAGTTTTCAATACGAAACACATGAATAATTAAATCCAATGATAATTACGAAAGTCTTTGAAGCAATCCAGTAACACTGTATCGGGGAGAAGGTAATATACCTTGGGAAAGTCTTCATAACTTGGGCGAATGGTCTCTTCAAAATCTAGGCCTGTGTTATATTTTCAGGCTGGTAAAACTGACTGTTCTGAACATTATATTTTGACAATGCCTGCTATTTATCCGATAACCAATCATCCGCCCACACTTTTATCTTTCAGTGTGAATTAACAGAGTGAGCTTTCACATATAATCTTTTCTGTGAAACTCGGTAAAAAGTATATCGTCTCCAAGGCAATGACCGATACATAAGTTAACACGAAATATTGACCAGTCCAATAGCTGTTAAATATATATGCATCTTGTTAATGGCTCCTAAGATTTGCTAGAATATGCTTTGGGGCAGACCAGCGTGTTTGTTATTCATGGTAAGTATTATTGTATTCCTAGAACGTATTATATGATATCAATAAAAATAATTTTCATTTTAGCCTGAAAATCTTCTTCTGGATGAGAGTGGCTACTGCAAACTGGTGAGTGGGAAGAAAACTAACATAACGATTGAGAAATCTTTTTAGTGGTAGATTTTAAACGTCCAGTGCACTCCCTAACTCTCCGTAGATTCCTCCTAACTTCTGTAGCATTGCTCCCGAAAATCCAGAGTAAGATTACAAGAACTGTGGGCAATGAATTGGTTTTGTCTGAAAACATTTAAATTTGTTAACGCCTCGAACGTCTCAAGTCTAACAATAGATTGATAAAGGATTAATGTATACGTAAATCACCAGTTAGTTTGTAATTCAACAGGAGCGTTTTTGAAACCACAATATGATATTAAAGTTGATTCTTGAAATATAAAAGAAAACTTATGAATATTTGATTAAACCATTCAACATTTAATTATATTCTATTTAACAAATTTGATGTAAGCATGGGCGATGTTTTTTGGTGAGAAATCCATTGTTTCCAGTAAAGCGTGTCTCTGAAATGATTTATTTTGGAATTAGCATCTGGTGGAAGAGAGAAACCTACTTATGGATGCTAACTGAAATAAATATGAACTTCTCAAAATGTAAAAAGTTTGGGAATATTTGCTTGAAGGTATTGGAAAGGTTAAAACCAGTGACTAATTTGTGCAACATACGTGTGATATTTTCACTTGGCAATTTTGCTTAAAGGCTTGTTGTATGGATTAAAGCTGGCAATTTAGCGCTCAAAATCGAATCTCTATTTAGTAGTAGACAAATAACACAGTCAATTAAAGTTTATCATTTTTTGCGATGAAAAGATGAAGAATAATCAACTTGTTGGCAACAAATAGGATAATGCCCCAGAAGCTTGTTTTTTAGATCGCCTATCTCATCAAATATTTCAATTTCCCTCAGGTCGATTTCGGCTTTGCCAAGAAAATAGGCTTTGGTAGAAAAACTTGGACCTTCTGCGGTACTCCTGAATATGTTGCCCCTGAAATTATTTTGAACAAGGTAAGTTGTTAAACATTGAACATTTTTGAAATTCTTTGTCTTTTATTTAAGTCCAAAAATAAAAGTCTTATATTGTCTTTTCTGTCTATGCATTATATTGTCTTTTCTCTTGGAAAAGGTTTTAAAAATGAATGATTTATTGCAGATTTTAATAAAGAGATTTCGGATGAAAAAGACTTATGTTTGGCATGTTTTACGAAGATTCAATGTAGCCTGAACCCCTTGAATGTTTGTTTTTTGGTCTGATGACATTTGAAATTTGCATCGGTTTATTATTCACCATTTATTAAGAAGCGTGTAAAAGGTGCCCTTTTGGGATGAGGGCTCGGGCTGCCGATCCATCCAACTGGACCAAGTGAATAGAGAAAAGAAAGATGATAAATGGATTTCTATAAACCTTTAAACCACCCTATAAACCCTATAAACCGATTTGACACCCTATGTACACCCTATCTCAATTTCTCTTTCAGGGCCATGACTTCGCTGCTGACTACTGGTCTTTAGGAATTTTGATGTATGAATTGCTTACTGGGAGGTGAGTGCAGGAGTTTCATTCTACCAGCTTCCTTATTTGAAAATAAGTATCAAATATCATGTCTTCTATGAAAGAGATTTTACTGAGCTATCTGGTATGAAATTTTTGCATGTTTTGTTTTGTTTAGGTTGTCTTTCGTATTTTCCTATAAGTTTAGTTCATTTAAGTTTTATTTTTCTTATAGGTTCTAGTATTCATAGCTTTTGAAAGTCATAGGTTCTCAATAGAATATACTCTTAGTGTCTCTAATAGACGCCCCCCCCGTGTATTAATTTCAGATAAATTTGCCTTCCCCCCGTCGCTTATTAGCACCCCCATTCTATTAAATTTTACAAATCAAGTCATTTGATTTTCATTATTCGTTGTTTTTCATAGTTTTTTGTAAAATCTCAACCGTACAAAGGAAACCGATGATTTTTGACTTCGAAGTTAAAAGCTGTAAATTTGATTTATTTTTGTATGATTGCAATTTTCTCTAAAACTATGCAGAAAATGAAACCAAATTTTGACAGTATATTCTAAAAGGTACTTCGACTTCAAAAAAGGATTGCCGACATGAAAACCCCCTTCTTTTAGCACCCTCTTCCATTGAAAACTGTTCGACATGAACACTTCCCCTTCTATTAGCACACCCCCTTCTATTGAAAATTGGTCGGATTGAACACCCCCCTTCTATTACCTCCCCCCTTTTATTAGAGACACTAGAGTAAAGTTATAACACACATGAGATACTGTTTGTTCGGTTTATCGCTGTCATTACAAGACACTAGTGTTATAAATGGAACATAAAAATCAATTCCATTTGTCACACGGCATTTCGACAGATAAATATATTGTCGCGAATATTTGTTAAATAACAAACAACATATAATGCGGCTTTTTCTTGGAACAGTTGCCTGATCATAGCATTAAGCGTAAAACTCAGAGTTGCAATTTAGAACACTCCTGTTCTATACACCAAAGCGGGTATAGCGCTGCCTATACGGCACCTAGCAATTTATGACGGGCCGGTATAACTGTAATTTTCATTAATCCTAAAAGTATTTTGAAGAATCCATCATCATAGGCATATCGGCTGACAGGCAGAATAGGCATATTGCAATCTGTAGTGGGTTAAACAGTTTTATATCCCAAAAAGGGCAAGTTTTGAAGCTCGCATTACCCCCGTCACATTTTATTGTAGTAAAAACATTAGCTTCAGTTTTTCCGTGTCTGATTAGAATTTATCTCCAGTCTGTTGATGAGTCAAGATTGTAAACTGTTCGTCCTGTCATGTTTGAGTTCAGTCGAAAGTGTTGTTATTTGCATCAATAATTTCTTCGCAAGCTGGTCTACGTGATATCTTCAGTCATCAAACAGTTAATTTATTGGATGGTGTTCTCTGAAGATACATGCAAAAATTGCCTCGATTATCTTAATTTTGGTCCCAATGTTTAATTGTTAATCTTTGTTTGAATAAAAAAACGAATTTCAGAATTTAGCGAGAAACACACTATACGTGATGGTCTTCAATATTTGCCTTGTACGAGTCAAACCAAACTTATATAGTAGGTGTCAAGGAGAGTTATGGTCTGTCACCTGACCATTATCTTTAGCTTCTGTAGACGACGAGAGTCAACATTAGTTTTCGTATTAAGTTATTAAGTGAAACTAGTAATTTTCAATATAGCTGTATACTGGGGATTCAAACGATGGATCGCTCTTTATTCGAATGTATTGATAGGTGAAGGATTTGACTGCAGTTTTGCAGGAAATGATCGGATTGCAATCCTTCCCAGCAAACGTTTGAATTCAGCATTAGAAATTTTTTTATATGGCGACCCTTGAAGGTTATAAAAGTATAGATGATATGCTTGCTTTTGCTATACAGTAATCTGAAGTGTCTGAATTACAGTTAAAATAAAGTTCAATTCGCTATTGTTATACCTAACATCAAATTGATTATACAGTGCAAATAGTACAATACAATAAAATACAATAAAGTACAATAAAATACAATAAAATACAATAAAATACAATAAAATACAATAAAATACAATAAAATACAATAAAATACAATAAAATACAATAAAATACAATAAAATACAATAAAATACAATAAAATACAGTACAGTACAGTACAGTACAGTACAGTACAGTACAGTACAGTACAGTACAGTACAGTACAGTACAGTACAGTACAGTACAGTACAGTACAGTACAGTACAGTACAGTACAGTACACAGTACAGTACAGTACAGTACAGTACAGTACAGTACATTACAGTACAGTACAGTACAGTACAGTACAGTACAGTACAGTACAGTACAGTACAGTACAGTACAGTACAGTACAGTACAGTACAGTACAGTACAGTACAGTACAGTACAGTACAATATAATGCATGTCAATATAATGCAGGTTAATATGATGCAGGTCAATATAATGCAGGTCAATACAATGCAACACAGCACAACAGTACAATACAGTAAAATACTGAACAGTATAGTACAATAAATTACAGTATACTGCAATTCTTGTAATACAGTACAGTATAGTACACAACAGTACAATACAGTACAAAACTGACCAATGTAGTGCAATTATATTTGCCTCGTCGTACTAATGTCATGTGGTGTTAACATGGGATCATTTTTTCTACATAGTCCACCATTCTCCGGGTCTGATCCTATGAAGACGTACAACATCATTTTGAAGGGAATCGATATGGTAGAGTTTCCAAGAAAGATCACGCGCAATGCACACAATCTAATCAAGAAATTATGCAAGTAAGTATTGAGTCGCTTTGCTTCCTTTAATATTACTGAACTCAACAACCATTGGTCAGTAGAACCTGGCGGTCCCCGATGGAGGTCTAGGAAGACAAAGAAATCTTAAGTATGAGGCTTAAACCTTCCAGCTCACTTTGATGTGAAGGTTTAAAGGAATAACATTCATTCGGCCGTTGAAATGTAAACCATATTGAAGTTCTTCTGATAGTTAAAGTAAAGTTAAGCATGTGAATGTACGAATGAGATGACTTTCGCGGTCAAGATTGTTTTTAAGTGGTAATACCTATAGAAATTTCCGAAAAATTCAGCGATGCAGGTTTTCTCCTGTCAAATTGTTAGCATATTGATTGTTGTCATATTTTCGTGCTGTAGAAAAAGGTGGTTGAATTTTATATTCATGTTCGCAGTGATGTCAAGCATGTTATGGTTTATACATTTTGCTACCAATGCTAGGCCCCAAGAAAGACCCTTTCGCTTCTGCTAGTCTTGATAATTTGATAAGATTTTTTTCATATGTCGATTAAATAAAGTGTCTGTGACTTAATTTTTTTAACAATAAGAGTAGTCCTACTCCAATGATTTCTATCGTTTTTATAAATACTTTTACTTGTAGCTTGTATAAATACTTTTAGCTAAAATTAAATCTTACTTTAGAAAGATGTTTTGACTTTTGACTTTTCATGATATTTCAGAGACAACCCGTCAGAGCGTTTAGGGTACCAGAAAAATGGGTTAAAGGACATTCAAAAACACAAGTGAGTGAAATATCATCTCGATCTGCAGACAAACACGCCCATGTTTGTTATTAAACCTGACTGTTTTCCATAAACTTTATAAGCCATTGTTTTTCTGGTGTTTCATTTACGTTTTCTTCTATCTTTCGCCATGGCCCAACTTTGGCCCTACGTAATATTCTCTCACTCATGCAAACAAAGATGTTTATATAGTCGTCGTGAAATCTAATGTCCAACCGGTGCAGAATACCTCGCGTCCGCTATAAACGTTTATTTCTTTGCCTTTGTAACAAGATTTCAAGGCTAATCTTATTAACATTTGCATTGTTTATGCGGCATAAAACTGCATAATTTCTTGCACTTATTATGTTGATTCCACGGGTTAATGGTATTAAATCGTATCTTTTTCCAGGTGGTTCGATGGATTTAATTGGGAAGGCCATAGAAACCACAAGCTAGCCCCGCCAATTATCCCTAAGGTATGGCTCAAATTGCATTACCAGATCACGGCAAACCAATTTTACGCTAACCTCAGATATTATTTATTATTTAGATCCCTTTAATGGAAGTCAAGAAATAGATTTAGACAACCAGCCATAATTTTGTTACATGTTATTTCGAATTAATGTTATGGCTTGAGGTTTAAAGGCGATGTTTCGTATTGTGATTTCATCTTTCGTTGAATTTTCACCAAGCTGCGTCGAGAATCCACCATAAAAACAACTTCCTTTAACTCAATTTTCGAATTACTAAAAAAATTCAAAGAAAACACACCAAGTTATAATTTGACACAATTTTCGTCATTCCAGTTCGTTTTCTACCTATCCTGGTCTTTCAAAAGTTCCCGTATGCTCCTTCGCAACATCTAATATTTTCTGTAAATCACTTCACTGCTACATGTTTGTTGTAATGTTTAGTTGATTTTGAGACAAGATTCGTTTGTTTATTTATTGAGAAATATTTTGATTAACCGTGTTAGAAACATCAAATTTATAGGTTGCACGACAAATGTCCAAGTTTCTTATAAAAATACAAGAAAACAGGTCTGGGCATTTTAGGAGAGCCATAGCTCTTGCTCCCTTCCAGGCTCTCCTCAGTGCTGGAGGGGAGCTAAAGATCGCTCTCTTTAATTGCTCTAAAAAGCAAATTGCTCACCTTGAAATCAATGTTTCCTTTACTTCTATATTGATATACAAATAACTCACCTTAGAATACCAGGAGAGCTGTTTACTGCTCCCCTGGTAAAAGACTAATGGCCAGGCCTGAAGAAAAAGATAAGAGTGTTTTAGAATTTTGAAAAGCTGGATCAAGGTTTTCGAGAAATCTGAAGCATGTAATGACATTTCGAAAGCTCTTGAAAGTACTTTCAACTAAATTAAGATGCTAGAAAAAGTAAAAAACAAATTTCCCCATTAGAATGTTTTTGTGATTCTGGAGCTAATTGACATATAAACCCAGTCGAAAAGCCTATTTTTACATAGGAATTCATTATGTTTTTCAGTACTCCCCTGCAACAATCCACTGTAAAACTGATCCTGTTTTTCTGTAAGATATAAAGATTTCATTTGCGGTTTGCTGCTGTGAAATTTTCGAAGACGATTTCTGAAATTATCTTGATTTTCATGAATTTTTCAGTCACCTTTTAAGACTATTTGGTTGTTAGTTGGAGTTGTGGGATTATAATGTTCAGCGATATGAATTATGAAAGGCCTTCCTTGATATATCTGGCACCGCTATTAAATCTCCTGACTTATAAAGCAGATATCCTTTATCTTTGCAAGCCTAATTTCGTTTCGTATAGAGCTGGTATAGCGTATAGGTCTGCAGTTAAGATTGTTTTGCTTCCTAGATAATTGTTTTTGTAGTCGGGTTAGGGGGTGTCGAGATACCTCACTAGATTTTGATCTTCTTTGAGATTCTGTCTGTAGGCATTTTTCTGTCAAAGTCTGGAAACAAAATTTAAATATGTTTTCCAGTTTTTAATTTGTGTTCCGTTCGAGCCTGTGTAAAACTTGATATTGGGAATTCTTGAAAATACTGTAGGATCAATTCTAGAGAATATTTTTCTAAAGTGCGGTCATTTGGAGATCCAGAAGCTCGCCAACTTCGTATTCCACCGGATACCGGTAAACCGCCGAGATGAATAATTTTCCAAAAAGCTGCGTCTATGTGATGTTTCGTGGGATCCCATGTTTGTGAATTCCAATGAATTTATTGTGGGTTGTAATGAAGACTTAACCTTTAGTTTCACACAAACTGAGGATCTTGGTAGTAAAAGTTGCTGTATATTAGAGAAAGAAAAACTTAAAGTGCTTCTAAGGTCCAAAAATCACAACATCTTTTTTGTTTAAAACCAATGTGAAATTTTTCGCTGATTTCGATGAATTAAATTATTTCCAAAGATAGAATGTAAATGTGAGGTGAAAAGGCTCGAAAAGTGCCAAAACACAGAATAGAGGCAAAACAAAGCATGCCTCCAGTGACGTCAGAAGGTGTTGCTGATGTTGCTCAGGAACATGAAAATACTATAGGCCTAATGCACCAGCACGATAACAACCCATCTGACTAGCGATGGAATTGAGCAAAAGCGAGTGTTGTATTAGGCGATAGCAATGTTCATGACAAGGAGTGTTTCGACCTAGTAGCTACAACCAGGAAATTATGCGTTTATTTCAACATGTTTTGAACCAGAGTTTGAAAGCTGCCGCCATAACAAACTGTCTGCTGCGGTGATTTGATTTGGCCTAGCCACACAGAAACGATCATGATCATGTTTAGACCTCACAGAAGGCGAAAAGTGAAATGAGCTTTATGAATAACCTTTATATGTGTACATTTAATCTAGCTTCATCATTTACTTGATGTTGTTACCAAAAAGAACTCAAATCGTTGAAATTCTTGTCAACGCCACCTGTACGGCCGTTTGTGTGGAACAAACCACGTGACTCTAAGCCCCCAATTACGTCATAGATTCCTTGCTTCGTTTACAGCTTAGGCCAAACTTTGAACGGCAATAGCAATAAAATGAGACGCGATATAGAAATTTTGAAATAATAATTGAATTCAGATTGCTATAAATTTTTTTTTTCTTTTAGATTAAAGTTATTTTTTGACCTTAGTAGCACTTTATGAAAGAACAAACAGGATTTAAAGTATAACCTCTTTGTTATGCTGGCTCAACTGCCCTCTAGCACATAACAGCCACTTCGTTTCTCCCAGCTAGACCCTTTCCTTCGTTAGGTTCGAGTACAAGGGTGCTATGGGAGTTTAACTTGATTTTTCTCAGTGTTTACGTGTGTTTGGTGGGTGAAATAATACATTTTCCTTAAAATTGCAACAACGTGGCAAAAATTCTGAAATTTCCGGCAGAATTAGTGCTTTAAGGGAACGATAGCTATCAAGCGCTCCACCAATTCATCCACGATATTGTTCATGAATCCTGTCTATCTAGATCGCTCTTAACCGTGTAATAATCTGTATTTTGAATAGGTAAAGTCACAAACCGATGCTTCAAATTTCGATGATTATCCAAAAGAAGATGATATACCTCCAGATGACTTATCAGGATGGGATAAAGATTTTTAAAGGTTTTTTCTCGCTTCATTTATCATTATCACTTGTGAGTAATTAGATTCTGCAGCATATGTTCTTAAAGGTAATGTGTCCAGCTTAGCTGGACCAGCTATAGAAACATCTCTATAGTAATAGCTATAGGAGTTTTTCATGTGAGCAGTTTTGCATCGCAATGACCAATCGCAAGCCGTTATTTTAATGGATGGCTTGACAACTTGGGTATACGAAGTCCTTTTATATGGACACATTACCTTTTAAACATCGACGAGACTTACCCTTTGCAAGCAAAGCAATGTGTCTGTGGTTGGGCCTAGCTAATTTATATCGCCGCCATCCTTCTTTGACGATAAGGCACCTATTTCCTGTTAAGTTTTCATGGAATAATGGAAAGAAAATCTCCCTGTGACTGAACAGGTGTTCTAACTCATGTTAAATTTTTTGTTTTAGCTTTTTAGAATTTCGTATTTTATAAACCTTTAAGAATTTTTCAACACTGGAATAAACAAAAAATAAATATACCAGTGCTAACCGCGAGTTTAGTTTCCTTAAAAGATCGATGTAGTCGATCTCAGTCAACCCAGAATAAGCTCTTTTATGACTGAACTCCAGAACCAAATTATGTGTAATTCACAGAACAAACGATAATTGTAGAGATCTTACAGTGACCAGTAAATCTAATTTGCAAGATTCTAATTTTAACTGAACACCAGAGTCAGGAAAACATTACGATCGCAAGGCCACTGACCGGAGGAAGGTCCACCAAAAACTATAGAAGCTCCTATGACACACCCAAGCCTCGCCCACTTTATATTGTTTTGTGAGGAAGGTTTGCCTTATGGAATGTTTTTGTCTGGAGGAAGGTTAGCAACTTTTCTGGACTCTGCTTAACACTATCTAGCTCGTTCAAGTAACGTACATGTTATTTTCCAAACAATATCCGTGCAAAGACCTTCAATAGTCGTTAAAGATTGACTCACAAGTTGACTGAAAAGGCAACTTTCTTCCACTCTTTAAGGGCACAGTGTCAGCTTTACTAAATTTGATGGAAATTGTAGGTACATGGTTGTGGTGGCCCCCCTCAAGCTTGAAATGATAAAAATAGTGGTCCCTCGAAACTTCCTAATTGCTATTGCCTCTTGTAGTTCTTAGCTGCAACCTCGTTTTCAACCTTTGATTACCATAACCTTCACAGATTTTTGTAATATAATTTTTCCTTTATTCTGTAGGCACACTCGTCACCGCAAGAGGTTGTTTTAAGATGTGAAGTTCTTTTCAATTAATTTGCTTTAAGATAAAGAGCGGATCGCATCGTGCTCTTCTCGTAACAATCACAAGCCATCACCATACACTATAAGCTAAACCACCCTTGGTGTTGTCACCGAGCACCAAGTTTATAGTTGTTTTTAGACATATTATTGCACATTCTCTAACGTCAGATGCGTGTCAATCGTGTTGTTATTTTCTTTGTTAGTAGCTACCAATCTTAAATTTAGATCGCTCTTCTTTTATGATACAGGGGAAATGTTTAGCTTTCTTGTATGCATAATAAACCTTTAGATTCGTTATGTTCTGCATTTTAGCCAGTTGCAGTGATTTTCATGTAGGTGTTTGCGCTAAGTTTGCATTGAAGCCACTTTGAAGCCATTTTCGTCCAAGCAATCTGTAATGTATAAAAATCCCGAGTGGAGTATTTATCACAATAGGAACATTTTTGTAGTGTTACAAATGTCAGGATATGTCTCTAGGTGTAAAAAGAATACTAGGCACACTCGTTCTCCTAGTCAGTCATTGCCAACAATGTTTTAAACACATGCAATGTTTATGTTGCGAACTTTCTATACCACTCGATGAATTTCATTTTCGTGTCAATATTTGAATTCAACTGTATTATTATTAAGGCACTGTATTTGGCGAGATGCCCTAGGTTTGTTGGGCAGATAGGTAATACATTGTCCTCCCCCCTGGATAAAATGAACGAATATTAGTGATTTCTGTTCATTGCGTATACTTTTTGACTATATACAAGAAGGGGGTGACTGTGTCATGGAAAGAAAAGATTTCTGCCAGAGGATGGTGTTATTAAAGCTCGCCATCTTTGCATCGAAGAGAAGATCGCATGCATAACGAACAAATCCGTAGTCCTTAATCCGTTGCTATTCCTGTTTTCCCTTCTCAGCTTCCCCTCGTTTTCTCAATTATTTTTAGCCCTTTTCGTATAATCATTTGTCTTAAACGTTTCGTATATCGATCATTTTTATGCTAGTTCATTTTTTATTGCTTAGATAACGTTTGATTAGATGTAATTAAATATACAACAGGACAGTTTCAAAATTGTTTACTTCCATTTAAATCCCTGGTACTGCATCTCATATAGGCGTGATTGCTTTGATTTGTAATTCTTTTAACCATATGTTCGAGACGAGAGCCCAATATGAGAAGAATTTTTATTGATAAGCTGGGCGCTTTCATATTTCGCTAGCCCGTTCTATTATAATTATCATGGTGAATGCAAAACTCAATCACCCAGAATTTTGATTTGTCGCTACAATTCTTGCGAAAATAATTGGAACGCCTTCTCATGGTTTACAACTACGTCAATAAACCACTGTTGATTCTAAAGTTTTTAGCCCCCCCCCCTTTCCCTCTAAATTGCTGCATTATTTGCTCTTATTCCGACAATTTTGGTAAAGATTGTAGACTCATCGTTTGCTATATAACCAGGAACTTGGGTATACAGATCCTATTATCTCATTTTGTAAAAGGGTAACTTTCAGCATCTTGGACAGTTGGGTTTGCCTCACTCGTGTCGTGTACGTTCCCAAGTCTATTTCTGTTAAACTCGTCAGGCTACTGCGAGCTAACCACAATCTCCTTCGCAGTTTAGATTTGGCTTCGCAGTATTAGGGATGCCTTGCGGCTTTGATAAAAAAAGATTCTGGGAAGGTCTACCAAGTCGAGAGATTTCCCCTTTCTTTATCCTTGAAGAGAGTAATTATGTCACTGTAGGCCTCAGTTTCTAATTTGGTTTTAAGTGTTATTTCGATGTTAGATTGATATCCTTGCCGAACTTATCATGATCAATTAATGACAGTAGAATTTATTCTTCCATTATCTTGAAGTATATATACTTATGGTGCGGGAATGTACATATTAATCTTAATAATTTTTCCATCTGTTATCTCTTGAATCTACTTTACTAGGCATACATTTATTATGTCATCTTGTTTCTGACATCAAGTCACTTTTCAAATCTAACATCATCGAAATCACCATTAATCGTGTTCTAATAAAATTTTGTATTTATTTTCTTTTATTTCTTATAATTATATCTAACTTCTCAATTTTCCCCTTTCTTTTCTCTTTCTTTATATAAATATTATCTGGCAGTCACCACCTTTGTTACTGATTTATAGATATAAATTGTCTCTATTCAATTGGATTTCATGTTTTGGTGTTAAGTTTTATTCTAATTTCATGTTATCTAGTGTTTTCTGTTATCAAGGATTCTTGGTCCTGCTACTAATGCTGGTAATATGGTCCACATTTTGATTTGCACTTTGTGCAACATCAAAAATTTCATCTCATTGCTCTCGAGACTAGCCAGAATTAGAAAACAGGTTTCCGATTGGATAGCTATCAATTTTGGCCTGTCATTTTAACGTTGGGAAGAGTTTTATAATTATATTCATATGAAAAGTTTTGCTTTGCAAGATTTCCAAGCGATGATGTTTAAATTAAAAAATGAATCATCAAATCGAACTTTATTGGAAAGTCTTGTTAATTAAAATATAGAAGATTTTTAGATTTTTAATCAAAGCGCAATTAGATGTTCTTGGGTGCACATTCGGTCAATGGGGTTGACTCCCTATGTGAAGCCTCGCACTCCTCCGAGAAATTACCGCCTGGCAAGCCGTTGGAGAATCAAGAAGAACTGAAGAACCACCATATCTCATACGTCTGGGCCACCAGATACTTCATGCAACTCGTGTTTTGGGAGAAGACGCCTCTGATCATGTGAAGTTTTCGCAAATACCCTTATCGTCATAAGATTAAGCCTACCGGACAAGACAGTTTACCGCGGGATGGCCGCCGCCGATGCCTGAGGGCCACTACTTGGAGCCACTTGGAGGAACTGACGATGACAGGGTAACCAATGCAGTCAGCAATCTCGTAAGAGAAGTGTCTGCTGAACAGGAGAGACAATAACATTGTTTATTTCCAAAATTGCAACGTAATGATATTTAAAAGCAATAGCAATTACTTCAAGGAAGGACAATTAAATTGATAATGGTAAAATAAATATAGTTTATGGATGCTCTATTGAGCTGGATCATTTGCATGGTCTATCAACAAGGACACAAAAATGCTTTGCTATCGTGAGCTCAGAGGTCCTGAAAAACTTGCTATTTGGGAAAATTGATATAGAAATGTTGTGCCTTCATTTCCAAATGCAACAAAAGTCAAGCCTTTTATGGAACAAATTTCTATTTATGAAACCCTGCGGCAGGAATTTAACTCTGATGAACAAACCAATGATTTTGCTAAGAAAGTGGAAATGTGCATCGGACTTAAACCTTTTGTGTGAAGCCAGTAGCGTTACATCCTACATGCATGCTCTGCGCTGCCATGTGCCTAGTTTTTTGAGGCTACAGAAATTTAGCTCATTTCAACCAACAAGTTCTGGAGGAGTATAATGATAAGGAATCAAAGGATTTTTTCAGGTCAACCAACGATAAAGGTCTTTCGTACAACTAATGTTAAGAAAAAAGTAGAGTCGTCAATCAAGCAATGTCGTCAAGCTTTGGGAGCAGAGCGAATAAGAAAAAACTGTTCCACGCCAGGACGTTCTATCAAAAAGTGCACAAACATGTGTAGTGACTGCAGTTATGTGATTAGTTTCACACATTTAACCAAACAGAATGGAAAGTGGGTTAAATGCGTAAAATTGCTAATTTATAGTTACACTAATCTTTAGGCTGTTGACAACGTTCATATTATTTTGTGCGATTTGTAAGAGGGCATTTAAGGCTTTGAAAGTGATGAATGTTGCTTTTACACAAATTTCAGTTCAAGCCAAATTATTCTTTTCATAACAATTTTACAAATTAATTTCTAAAATGTCTTGAACTCCTAAACTGAAAAAGAACTGTAAGACAATGATGCAATTTAGTATCCTCTTTTTGTGTGTTTTAGCAAATACAAAAACAAAATCTCCTGTTCAGTTAATTTATTTGTGAATTAATATTGAAGGCTTTAGACACAGCTAGGTATATCAGCTTTATGCTAGAGCTTATATATTTAGAAAAGAAACAAACATACAATACACACGTAGATTAGTAGGAGTACAATTATTTTTTGCGGCAAAACCCTTTATGGGAAACCAAGACATATGCATTGATAACACAAATCATCTTCCAAGTCTAAATTATAGATTATTATGGGAAATGGTGCAAGAAATATGATTTTGTAAGAACCAGGCCATTTTCATGGTACAGTAAGACCCCCTTGGAATAAACTCAAATGTTCATATCAGGCTGTGTAATTGCAGAATTGCAAGAAAATATTTCACATCTGACTGGCTGATTCCTTTTATTTCTTTTTAGAAACTCCTTTTTACATATTGCTTTATAATAAAATATCATATCTTATTTTTATTCGTGGATCATGCTGCCTTAAGCCCACCGCACACGGCAGACTTTTGTCTTTGAAGGACGAAGATTTTTGTATTTGAGTAATCCGCACACAGCACGTTTTAAGATTCTTGTCTTCATGTATTGCGCACATGACAGGTTCTCGTCTTTGAAGCAATGACAGGAAACTGTTTGGCGGGAAGTTTCAAGAGAACATCTTCATGTGAACAAAACTTAGTCGCTTATTGGCCACCCAATCTGTTTTCGAAATTTTTTGTCTTTTGGATCCGCAGACGGCAGATTTTTGTCTTTGTCTTTCAAAGACCGTTTTCGAAAATTAAACATGTTTAATTTCAAAGACTGTATTTGAAAGACAAAAATCTTTGTCTTTGACAAGCGCATACGGCAGATTTCTGTCTTTGGAATTCTCAAGACAAAAATATTCGTCTTTTCAAGACAAAAGTCTGCCGTGTGCGCTGGGCTACAAAGGATACCCCAAGATGTTCTTATGTATCCGTTTCTTTCAAACGCGGACTTACTGTATTAAACTCACTTTATTTGTTTTAAGCAATTTTAGTGTGCCTTTTTATTTGAATTACATGCTATTTGTTAATGTAAATAATTGATTTGAAGTTAGTTTGCAATCACTCTCACTTGTGTATAACGCCTAAAAGTTTCTTCAATTGGATCGCTATTTAATTTTATTAAAAAATAGTTTTATTCTTGAACTTTTCATCATATTGTCTTGCATTCCCTTTCTCCCTTAAATATGTTAAGGCAAGTCTGGGGCATTGTTCAGTTATATAAGGAAAAATTTCATTTTCAACTTGAAAATAATCAGAAATTAGTTCCCTCTCAATTAGCAAGTACTGAGATGTCCCTTCTATCAGGGACCGCGCACCAGTCTAAAAGTAGAGGGGCTGAAATGGGTGTGCCAGGAAATTTTTTGAGGCCACGCCCTCTAGAACGCCGGAAAACGCTCCTTTTAGAAAATACCTGCTTATTTCTCCTGAATTTTTATAAACACTCTGGTTCAGAGACGATATCAATAACTATGAAAATTGATAAAATTAGCTTGAGGGTAATAAAAATCCACGGGGGGCCAAAGCTAGAATTTTTAAAAAATTACCCTAAAATGGCAGTGTTTTTTGACAATAACACTCAAATGGTGGAATAAGAACGAAAATTATGCCATTTACCAATGTTTGTACGCGCCTAGCCCTTCTTTGACAAATTTCTTCGCCATTGAATGTTGTTGATTCGGGAAATATAAAACCTTGTTCATTGACTATAAAAAATCGCAAGATAAACTAAGCCGTTTTGTTGTTATCGAAACTGGGCCATTTTGTAGTCATTTGGTAAGACCCGCAAATCGTCTGGACCCCCCTGTCAGGCCTTAATGGAAGTACCACCCTGGGAAAACGCCAAGTTAGAAAATGAATCATACCATTACACAAGATGAACACCTAGAAATAAAGCAAGCAAGGTTCCAACTAAAGAAGAATTGCTACTACATAGGAGTCAACTATCCAAAGTTGCGTCAGAGTAAACCTTCCAAAGTTCTTTTTAGCTAATTATTGCAAAAATGTTGGGGGGCTATAGCCCAGCTAGCCCAATGGCTGTGCAGTGCCTGCTTTCTATTACACAAGCAAAGTCACCTACAGGGTTTTTCACTCTAATGTTGTGTTGTTTATTGTTTTATGTATCGATTTAGTTTGTTGTTGTTGTTGTTGTTTCGCGCCTTTTATGTAGATTTGTTGGCGTGGGTTGAGGGACTATACCCTGGGTACCAGACTCACTATATATGAAATAAAATAGAGAGTCTGGTCTAGTGCGCCCCATTCTCGTTCTGGTGCGCTGATATTAACCAATCAGGAGCGAGTGTACAGATTTCTGTACGTTCAAAGGTCACAGCGAAACAATAAACTTAGCTCTGGTGTAAAACATTGAACAGAACAGAACATAAATAAATGCTAGCGACCGCAACGATTGAGTTTGAAGATGCTGTTAAAACTGTACTCAAAGAATATTTTCCGCATGTTGTGGAACTGAACACAGAGCAGCATTGAAAGCCTTGTTTGTAGAGAGAAGAGACACTTCGCCATATTGCCAACTGGCTTTGGAAAGTCTCTGATATTTCAGGATGTGCCTCTCGTTGCAAAGAAATTAGGCCTTGTAGTGAAATGCAGTGTAGATAAGAAACACCGCAAGTCGCCGAGAACCAACAGCAACAAACACAGTAAATCAGTTATAGCTAATATTTCGCCCGGCATACGGGGCTTCGCTTGTCGCTGTGGTGACCTTCCAACGTGATGATTCTAACCGCCCCGGTGTCCAAGCGCGCTGCCTTCACAGTGAGGAAGTAGACTTTGAAAGTACACACAATTTATGAGGAAAATTACAAAAGACTTATTTTAAGTTGTATACGAAATTTGATAATGATGAACATTTAATAACTGCATTGTGCTAACTTTAATTTCATGCTTCGCACATGTTTTTTGCTGCCAAGGCGTTTTACACCTGATTTGATTGGAATCTTGAGGCAGAAGTGTCTATTACCACTGTATTAATAATGTCAACTTTACAGAACTATATAAAATACATTTGCTTTAAGATTTCCCAAAACTCCTCTGACTACTGAGAATCTTTGTTATTTATCCGACAGTCTTGTTTCACAGGCCTAGTCTGTTAAATAGACTTCAGTTCTTTCAAGTAAGTTCACCAGAACGATGATGGGGCGCACTAGACCAGACTCTCTATTATTTTATATAGTGAGTCTGGTACCCAGGGTAGAGGGACTAGAAATGACGTTTTTGGAGTTCTATTTTGGTAGTTGGATTTTAGCTGAAGCTGAGTTGTCGTGGATTGAGAATTTCCAATATTGTAGAACTCGATCGATATTTGTTATAGCCACTATTTCACTTACTCGCTGATTTGCAAATATTTTAAATTAATATGTTATCATGCCGTTTTGTTTTTCGTCCTCTGTTCACGTTCGCAATTTCATTTCACGGACAAGGATCAATTATCATTACGCTAGGACAGGTCACCGCTCTTCGGTGTTTGCCAGAAACATGTCGAAGTTTTTTCTTCACTTCACATTACAGATCTCGGACAATCGTTCTTCAACAGTAGAATCGTCGTTGTTATGTATTTTTACACTTTGATAACAGGAAAATCGTCGCTTATATCTTTCCATTCTTTCATATAACATGTCTGGCTTTAAAGGAATTTAATCGGTGTGTTACTGAAGTGTATCCAAGAATAATCAGATGTAGCTAGTGAAAGGTTGCAAAAATGAAAGCTGTATGGACTGCCACATTTGAATGAATTGCTTCACATCTAACATCTTGGAAATACCATTAGGATAAAGAAAGATAATGGACCTTTCTCATTCATGAAAGAAAAGATCTCACGAAGAACACTTTCAGTCTAGAAAGACCCGTTGCTGAATACAACTTTGGAAATCGAATCACAGTTAATGGCATCGCTAAACAGCAAATTATATTTTGATTTAGGAAGAGATTAAGTTGTGTAGAGCTTTAAATAATAAATCGCAAACCTTATAAGATAAAAGAGAGTTTTTTCTTCAAACAATTATCTTATTTGCTTAATGCAGAATATGATAACAAGAAAACATGTTTCCCTGGCACGTTGTTTCCCTATGTTTACTTTGAGCCAAGTAATCCACGGGAAGGAAAATTGAGGCTCAGCAATGTTGGAAGTCAATCATAAACCATATATGGAGCTGACCAGCACGTTCCATGAATCGTTTCACCAATGTAGTAAAAGTAGTCCGTGCAATTTTGTGGTGAAGGATATGATAACAAACAAGTATGAAACACACAATAAGGAAGAAGATATAACTCAAGACCGGAAAAAGCTGATAAGATGAAAAAGAAAAAGTATTTTAAATTTTCATACAATAAAGTTTTGGATAAATGTAAGCCATGAAGGATTTAAGAGTGCAAAATTACAACAAACCTGTGCTTTACAGAGATTTTGGAACCAAGATTTTCATTACAAAATGCTACGGGAACGGACAACCTCAACGTGTACAAGCTTCAAAAATTTTTATTGATGATTCCATCTTTTACGAAGAAACATAGTTCCCTAACTTGACGAAAAAAGAGAGTGATGCTCTTCACAACCTAAAACATCTACTAAGGTGTGAGGGCTCTAGGCACCTCCTGGTTTACTCCCGGCAAATTTTTATACGAAGACACAGCAATAAAGAGGCTAAGCCCAGAGATATGCAAGAGGGAGAGGAGTGAATTATTGTAAAGAAGAGTGGGGTAAAATAAGAGATAAGCTAAGTTTTTCTTAGACAGGTAAGAAACATTTATATGTCGTTGTAACTGAATAAGCGATACAGTTGTGAATCCGAGATCAAACCGGTCTTCTTTTTCGTGTATTTCTCCTAAAGGACACTGCTCCATGTATGTCACAAAAGTCACGACCCAAGGTCATTTTCCCTAGAAAACATTTTCAGCATTAATGTTGATGTGCCGCGCTTATTTCAGTAATATTTTGCCAAGCCGTGAAAATTCAGTTATTGGTCTCCTGTTTTATTCACAACACCCAGAGGTCCCGATTAGTCCCTATTTCAAGACTTAGTCCCAGCCACATGTGAGAGACTGTGTCCCGTTCTGACGAAAAACCAATCAATTATGTTGTTTTGGTAAAATTGCTTCTAGAAATGAAATTTCCAGAAAATTGAAGTCACTTATTTTTGAAAATTTTCTCGCTCTTCTGATGCAACCTGAGCTGCCTCAGGTAGTAAGTAAATCGGGAAGTATTCCTATGATTAAGGACGTAAATATAAAGACTAAGCAGAAAGCTTCGATTTTTCTATATTTAATGATCAATGTATTTGTTCGACTTAGTTATTGAACTTTTTGTGGGCATAGAGATAAAGTTATCATCTTTCAATTGAATTTTCAGAACTGTTGAAATTTCTTTTTTCTCAGTTTTAACAAATATAATATTTGGACTTCCACTCTTGCTGTTAGGGAAGCCCCGTCTATGCCTAGACCCGGACCATGCAAATGTTAGCATGGCCTTTCGAGATTACCAGTATGCCAGATTGTCGGTAGAAAAACCTTGTCAATGAGACCCTAACTTAGCTTTTCTCTCCTTCGATTATTTTCATAAACTTGATCAAGTTGGAAAAATATCTTAGCCATCATAAAAATAACTTGTCAATTTTTTCCAATTAAATTACCTATTTATTAAAGCGTTTAAACAAACAAGACTTCAATATTAAAGCACTATCTAGCCAATTTCACTATCTAAATATCTTTGTTAGGATTTTCGATAATTATTTAGAGCTAACAGTCAAATTCCACTCCTCTAGAAATGTTTGTTCTTTTATTTACAAAACAAGATACGTACCTAAACTCTTATCTTTTCACTGCAAATTCATGGTTAAAGTTTTTATGTTAAGAAAATGCTAAAACTTTTATCCAGATGTTCTTATACAAAAATGCCCATGTTGTTTACACAATTTGAAAAAAGTCATTTTTGCGACCACACCCTCTGATCCAGTCCATGTACGTTGTTATGTTCTTCTTCGAAAATCAGTCTCATTTGACTATGGATCCGCCAATGGGCATATAAAACTTGCTTATGATGCTGTTAATGTCTTTGTAATCTTAAACATCTTTGAATAAAGTTATGTAACAATGAATTATTAGAAAACTACCAGCTAAGCTATCGCTTGTATTAGAAAAGTTTCAGTGGCATAAAGAGTTATTGTGGCAGATGCAGAATAAGTAAGGGGGCTAATAAGCCTTTTAGCAACTGATATCTAAATCGAAAAATTCATGCTATAAGAAGGATATAGGTTGACAAAGAGAAATGACATCCTTACTAATATTAATTTTTATCATGGTACAGTAAAATATTCAATAAGCAGCTTAACACGTCTATCCAAAAGGTGCATTCATTAACTCTCTGCGCTTGTAGTGTACTATAATCATTCAAGTGAAAAAAATAATGTAATAAAAAAGGCAATAAAAAAGAAGGTGAAACATACATTAAAAATAACCAAATGTAGCTTAAACTCAAAGTAAAGTATTTACGTGAGTTTCTTACATATTGCAACAAAATGTAAAAATCTAGTGCAACGGTGCCGAAGAGCTTTTGATAATTGCTTAGCTTGGAAGTTTTATACTATTTGATACGAAGGAATATATCAATAAGTCAAAATCTCCACTCAAATGGATTCATCTATTGAAACCAGTGTCGCATTATCCACAGGGCACTTTGGACCTTCTCCCTAGCCCCCCCTTTAGATAGGCCCTAAATTTTCTAAACTAGTTTTTTTCGGCAAGAATTTATGACAGATTGTCAAAGTACAATTTTCGAACAAATGAATTTTACTTCTATCACATCTGTAGCCATTATTACATTGCTTTAGAACAGTCTTATGGCAATACGTATAATATGTCCGGGAGATTAAAGAAATTAGCAATTGTGCACCCTACGCCCCAGGTCTCGCTCATTCGCTCATGCACAAAAATAACACAGCAGCTGATTGCTACCTTTAAATTGTTGCTTTCTTTTATTCAATATGACTGGTAAAGAAAGTGTGTGCTTCCTCTCAGCTTGCACAGATCGTTAAATTTTCAAAGAAAAGTTAACAAAGAACAAGCTGTGTTAAGGAATGAAATTGAATGCGAAGAGAGAAGAGGTAGAAACATTTCTTTGGAAAAACAAGGCTATCACTGAATTCTTATTTGAAAATATTGGGGGCCCTATTTTATTTTTTGGCCAGTTCCTCGAAAATCTAAATGCAGCCCTGATTAAAATTGAATCAAGGGTAGTTTATCCCAATCCAATGTTGAGTGGTGCTGCTTGTATTGGTAGTGCACCTAAATGCTTCGTTTCTGGAAAGATAGCATCCAAAATTATCTTCGCTAAATAAAGAACCATTTTTTGCTTGCGGAAAGTGAACATTTATGTTCGAATCAATGTGAAAGTGAATTCCGTCACGTTGCCAAAAATCAACTAATTGCTCCGTAGCGCTGTACCCTCTAACGTTTACAAGTTCTACATGTTTAGGTTCTGCATTTATATGATAGCAAAGTGGATCAAATGCAGAAAGTTTGAATCTGATGTAATCTCGATAATCAACACCAAAAACATCGAAACTACATGTTGCTCTCCAGTGGGTAGATGTTGATTTGATTTTCTCGATCCTTGTCTTGCTGAGTCTAAAAAGATGTATAACAACGAATTAAAAAAAATATCGATTGTTTCCGAAGGCTTTTTTACTAGTGCTAAAGATACACCCGCTCTTACTTTATTTGCAACTTAGCAAAAATTGGAATTGAAAGTTTCTAAAAAAACTAATGAAAAATTTATATCTTTATATATTGTATTGATTACAAAAACTTCTAAAAAACCCTTTAGCGCCTCCCCTTCGTCTTCGTTTGAAATGCACAAAACGTGTTTCCTTGCGCAACAGTTTAATAAAAATTTGAAACATAAAACAGTAAAAAGACTTAACCTGTAATTTTCCCAGTTTGGAGAATTTTCCAAGTACGGAAAATCAATTGTGAATGGCTTGTCTTTGAACAGATCATTTTTACCCAAAGAGAACGATTCGATCAGGGTCCATACTGAGTTTGGCTCTGATGTGAAATCGCAGTAAACGTTGAATTCAACTCCGTCATCATCTGATATTCTGTATATCCCATTGACCATTGCAGAGTCGTATCGCCAATCAAGACAGGAATACTTTCCTTTAAGAAGAAATTCAAGAAGAAAATAAAATCATTAGTGAATTGTAAAGAATGCAATAAGATCTCAAGATGCAAGAAAAAAAGAATTTTTTTAAATGGCTTTGCACTTCAATGTATTTAAAGCGAATTGAAGCGAATCACCTTTTCTTAATATGCAGAACACGGATTATTGTTTTACAATTTCAATTATCAAATTAATAACATTGATATATAAACAGCCAATTATAAATTAAAATCTTTAAAGCCAGGGATAAACTTTATACTCTTGAAAATCCTGAAAAATTCCATAGGAGAATTCTAGGCGAACTAAGAAAGCCCTAGAGTCCACAATTTTTATTATTGAAAAACCCTATCACTTTGCTATTAATAAATATTAAAACCAAACTGGGTTATATGCTTCTTAAGTAATATCAATCCTTATATTATGTTTCAAAAGAGGTTAACTAAAACTTTACTGTATGAAAATTGAAAATACTTTTTCTTTTCCATATTATCAGCTTTCTTCGGTCATGAGTTATATCTCCTTCCTTATTGTGTGTTTCATACTTGTTTGTTGTCGTATCCTTCACCACAAAATTGCACGGACTACTTTTACTACATTGATGAAACGATTTATGAAACATGCTGGTCAGTTCCATATATGGGTTGTGAATAACTTCGAACATTGCTGAGCCTCGATTATCCTCCCCGTGGATTACTTGGCTCAAAGTAAGCACAAGTAGACAACGTGTCAGGAAAACATATTTTCTTGTTGGCATTTTCTGCAAAGTAAACGAGATATTTATATGAAGCAAAAACTCTTAATATTTGTATCACTTTGGTGACTTATTATTGGTACTTCTACAAAACGTGATATCTTCCTAGATCAAAATTCAATGTGCTTCTTATCAATAACTTGAACCTTGATTTAATTTCCAAAGTTGTATACATATACCGGTCTTTCTGGACTGAAAGTGTTCTCGTGAGATCTTTTCTTTTAAGAATGAAAGAGGACCAATGGTATTTCGAAAATTTCAGATGTGAAGGAACTGATTGAGATGTTGCAGTTCATACAACATTCATTTTTCATCCTTTGACTAGCTACATCTGCTAATTCATGCTAACTACAGTAACACCCCGATTAAATGCCTTGAAGACAGATATGTTCGTATGTGGGTCGGTAGGAATTAATGCATGGATATTTTATTGTTATAAATTGAGCTTCTAGTTCTATTAAAGGTATTATCTCCCGACGCGGCTCTATGGCATTGTAAATTCTAATTATTTTGTCCACTGATTTGCTCGTTCCAAGCGTCGAACTTAATCACGCCGTTCGCCGCATTTAAGTCTATGAATGTTTTTGCATGAAGTATTTCAGGTTTGATTACGGACATTTAAAATGGCCTTAATCGTGAGAAAATTGCTGATAGAATCCATAAGTAATAGGAGATTGGCAGACGGAAGATTGCAGATTGTAGTGAAACGAAAAAGAAGGAGAGCTCAAGTGTTGCTACATTCTGTCTTGTTGTTGATAGCTTTAAGAATAATAGAGGCGTAGAGGGCCTGCCGAAGACTTCTACGCAACCAGGGTTGGTGGAATATCGTCTGGATAACAATATTTAGAGGCAAGAGTAAAACACAAGAAACCTTCGCATATGCAGACGCCATGTTGGCTTTGTTGTTTCCATGTTTATTCGCGCCGAAATTTAATTAAAGGCATGCGCTCTCCGTCAAAGAGGGGAATTGTGGGACATAAAATAAATTATGCATTGATTTCCGTACATGAAAAGACTAGCCGCGCTTTGCTTGCGTAGCTCGTCCAAGAGCTGTTGATCCAAATTTTTCTGCCGCGGTGTTGATTCAAATGTCGCACTTCTCGTGTACTTAATTCTCTTTTTTAGTTCGGCATATGCGAAAATCAAACGACGAATGCTCAACGTTATGTCAATCATAAACGCGCATTTCAAGCCTATTATTAACTCTTGAAGATTGGCTGACGGAACATTGTGCATCCAAATAAAATTTTTTGGCAAAAACAAATAAACAAAACTCTTAGAAGCCCTTCACATAAGAAAGTTTTTTGTTCACATTCCAATAAAAATTTACAATGCAAATTTACTAGTTACACTACCTACAAAATACTTAACGACATTACAAAGACGATGCCACTGGGTGCAAAATACTATGACTACTCCGTGGCATCATGAAAAACTAAGACAACTTACATATGAATTACCAAAAGAAAATACAAAGAACACTACACTCTCTCTCAAATTAGAGATCAGGCGAAGATATTAGCGAATAGCAGCAAACGAGATGTCTGCTGCAGTTTAAGTAATTTTGCGTTATCACAGATCTCACCTGATATATAATTTGAGACAGACTTTACATATTATATTTAACTAAGTAATTGTTGGCTTACTATGAGAAATTTCAGGCTGGTTTGAAACTCTATCGGCTTTTTCATTGATCAACGCATGTAAATTGTATCCTTATCAAAAGTGCCAAGGAAATTAAGAAGCAGGAATGAAGACCAGCAACTCCACAGCAATAAAAAGAACGACACGAGTCACACAATGTGCATCAGAAAAACTAACCCAGGCTCGACCCTGGTTTGCATTCACACGACATTCTGGGGCGAAACCAAATGCAGAGATGGGTTAGATTTTCCCAGGTCGAGCCCGGGTTGGTTGCGTTTACATTACACAAAAACTAACAAGGGTTAGTTTAACCTGGGGCTTTTTGCTAACCTGTAAAAGGAATGCATTTCAATGCATATAGAGAGTATGAGGAATTAAAGTAAAATTCGGAGATGTTGACTTACCAGCAACTCTCTTCAATGCGAAAACAAGACGTAGATTCTGCCCGATTTAGAAATGCGTATCACTGGCCCGGCGTCGTCAACTTGGTCTGAGGTACTGAGCACTGGAGCTTCATAAACAAAACTTTATATTTGGTTGCCATGCCAGAAATCAATCCAAGCAACAAGCCAATAAAACAGTCAAGTTTTTCAAGGTATATTCAATCAATTCATCTGTGGAGATTGAATACTGATATTAAGGAGACTCTTTGATCATAACCTCCAAACCACATATCAACCTACTATTTGCAAATTAATTGATGTTGCAATCATGTGGGTGATACCATAAAAGGGCACGAAAGATTTGTTGTTTTGTTTCTAGTGTGGTGACAATGTCCTTTCACGGTGTGAGCTATTTACCATTGATATTGATTATGACAGTGACAGTTGGTTGAGACTTTTCATAGCTAGCGTAGATAAAATGTGCAAGGTGTTGTGATTTAATTATGCTCACTCGTGAATATATTTCTGATATCTTGACTGCAGATGCATGATGAAAATTTTTTTTGCGTAATTATAGAAATAGTTCAGTCATTCATCTACGTGGTCGGTAGGTCGCTAACAATACTTTTCCACCAAGCCCTATCATTTGACCATCCTTTCACCATACCAAAATTCCAGATGTTCGCCTACCCCTTTACATCATCTATCTGATCCGCATCCTTCTGTGTCTTCCACGAGATCTCATACTTGGAAGAAACCTCTCCATGATGTTAGAAGATACTGTGTCACTTGATCTTCGTGCAACAGGCCCAAAAAGCGCAGCATTCCCTTTTGCAATGGTGCTGTTCAGTTTAGAGGTTGTTTTGCATTTTCTGTGCACTTTCTCATCTCTCCATATGCCTTTCAACATTCTCCGGTAACGCCATAGCGCAAATGCCTGTATTTTGTCTTTTATCACTTTCCCAATGGTCCGTGCTGCTTCCATCCATAAGTAAAAATTGACCATACGTACATTTGTAGGATGTTTACTTTGATCTTTATGTTGAAATTACTGACGAAAATTTGCCATCGTGCTTCTTTTCCTTATTTCATCTAAGTGTAGTAACCTAATTGACTATGCGCAGGAGCATTACTTTATGTGTACCCATGTTTATATAGAGTTTCAAATTACAGTTTACAGTATTGCAGTTATGTGTGTAGGCCGTTTGAAGTTAATAGAAAGTTATCGTTCTGTTCTGTTCAACCCATGCGTTGTTCTTTCTCCTTCACATCTTAACACTAAGCATCACTCATCCTCAGTAATCAATGATCCGAGACTACAATAACTTTATACTTGTTCCAAGACTACTCTCTCGTATGTTGTTTGAATCTTTGTTCCCGCTTTTTTTTAATTTACCATTATCTTTGCTTTCTTTGCGTTCAGTTCCCTTCCAAATATTTTGCATGCTCTTTTCTGTTTCCGCAATAATGATGGTGTCGTCTGCGTATCTGATGTTAGTGATTTTGATGCCATTTCCTCTTATTCCTGTTTAGAGCTTCTTGTGTTAGCTCTTCGCTATACATATTGAACAGAATCGCTGATAACGTACAGCCCTGCCGGACACCTTTCTTGATCTTAAAACTTCTAGCCTGTGCTCCAGACCCCTAACTTGAAAGTAGAGGGTCTGTGTAGACTTACTCCACGAGCCTCTGTTTCGCTACTGCCTCACTTGACGGACGCTACAACAGAGACTCATAATCCAAAGTACTCAAAAACTGGCAACTTCAATTTTGTCTCGTTCTCGATTTCTTTTCAAAATTTCCAAATCCACCCCCCTGATTTGCACATCTTCACAGCTCTTTCATTCACATGTAAATTTGGAAATTTCTCTGGTGTGGATGTTACAGTGAAAAGTTCCGACTTTGCAACCGTAAGTAAATCTTTTTGCGGTATTTTCCTATAATTTTTTCCACGATGTCATGTAGAAAGATTTTTATAAGTTATTTCACTTTTTTGCGTTAATTGCTTTGGCTTTTTGAGACTAATATGAATAAAAACCTCAGATTTTGTTGCCTCAATGATATTTTAAGTCAAATTAATGGAGATAGACAAGTATCTGAAGGAGAAAGGCATGGTTTAGAAAAATCGAAAACTTCCAAGCGTTTATTCTACCGATAATTTTTTCCAGACCAGTTTAATTTTGATGTAACTTTCAAATATTGTGACTTAAGCCAAACTTTGAACTAAGCCTTGTAGCTAGGACCGTGGCAAAAACTAGCCACGGTCTTAGCTACAACTTTAAAATGGATAAAGTTGTTCCTCTTGTTATTGTGAGTAATTTTTTGTTATGTCTATCTTCTAGGTTACAACTCAATTGAATGAAGACAGACAATTCTTCTAACGACACTCAAAATTTGAGTCTTAATTCAAGTAAAATTTCATTGTGGAGTTTTTCAAGAATCTAATATGAACTCGATTATAGTATCATTTATAACTTCTGTTTTGTCATCGCGACTTTTTGTTTTGGTAGTTTATTATGTTGTGATAAACATGTTTTCATCCAATTGAATTTGGTATATACTAATTATATTCACTGAATTGTGGTGTTTATCGTCTGAACTTCTCAATGTCAGGGTGCATTCTCCATGTGTTTTCACATCACATCAGGGTGCATTCTCCTTTGAGCTGCCTCGGGTTGTAAGTAAATCGGGAAGTATTCCTATGATTAAGGACGTAAATATAAAAACTAAGCAGAAAGCTTTAATTTTCCTATATTTAATGATCAATGTATTTATTCGACTTATTTATTGAACTTTTTGTGGGTAAAGTTATCATCTTTCATTTAATTTTTCAGAACTGTTGAAATTTCTTTTTTCTCAGTTTTAACAAATATAATATTTGGACTTCCACTCTTGCTGTTAGGGAAGCCCCGTCTATGCCAAGGCCCTGGGCCATGCAAATGTTAGCATGGCCCTGTGAGATTACCAGTATGCCAGATTGTGGGTAGAAAAACCTTGTCAATGAGACCCTAACTTAGCTTTTCTCTCCTTCGATTATTTTCCTAAACTTAATCAAGTTGGAAAAAGACCTTAGCCATCAGAACACTAGCTTGCCAATTAAATAATCTATTTATTAAAGCGTTTAAATAACCAAGACTTCACGTTAAAAGCACTCTCTTACCAATTTTACTATCTAAATATCTTTGTTAGGATTTTCGATAATTATTTAGAGCTAACAGTCAAACATCACTTCTGTAGAAATGTTTGTTCTTCTATTTGCAAAACATGATACGTACCTAAACTCTAATCTTTTTACTGCAAATTCATGGTTAAAGTTTTTATTTTAAGAAACTGCTAAAACTTTTATCAAGATGTTCTTATACAAAAATGCCCATGTTGTTTACACAATTTAAAGAAAGTCATTTTTGCGACCACACCCTCTGATCCAGTCCATGTACGTTGTTATGTTCTTCTTTGAAAATCAGTCTCATTTGACTATGGATCCACCCATGGGCATATAAAACTTGCTTATGATGCTGTTAATGACTTTGTAATCTTAAGCATCTTTGAATAAAGTTATGTAACAATGAATTATTAGAAAACTACCAGCTAAGCTATCGCTTGTATTAAAAAAGTTTCAGTGGCGTAAAGAGTTATTGTGGCAGATGCAGAATAAGTAAGGGGGCTAATAAGCCTTTTAGCAACTGATATCTAAATTGAAAAATTCATGCTATAAGAAGGATATAGGTTGACAAAGAGAAATTACATCCTTACTAATATTAATTTTTATCATGGCACAGTAAAATATTCAATAAGCAGCTTAACACGTCTATCCAAAAGGTGCATTCATTAACTCTCTGCGCTTGTAGTGTACTATAATCATTCAAGTGAAAAAAATAATGTAATAAAAAAGGCAATAAAAAAAGGTGAAACATACATTAAAAATAACCAAATGTAGCTTAAACTCAAAGTAAAGTATTTACGTGAGTTTCTTACATACTGCAACAAAATGTAAAAATCTAGTGCAACAGTGCCGAAGAGCTTGTGATAATTGCTTAGCTTGGAAGTTTTATACTATTTGATACGAAGGAATATATCAATAATTTGAAGTCTCCAATCAAATGGATTCATCTATTGAAACCAGTGTCGCATTATTCACAGGGCACTTTGGACCTTCTCCCTAGCCCCCCTTTTAGATAGGCCCTAAATTTTCTAAACTAGTTAGATTTTTTTCGGCAAGAATTTATGACAGATTGTCAAAATACAATTTTTGAACAAATGAATTTTACTTCTATCACATCGGTAGCCATTATTACATTACTTTAGAACAGTCTTATGGCAGATTAAAGAAATTAGCAATTGTGCACCCTACGCCCCAGGTCTCGCTCATTCGCTCATGCACAAAAATAACACAGCAGCTGATTGCTACCTTTAAATTGTTGCTTTCTTTTATTCTATATGACTGGTAAAGAAAGTGTGTGCTTCCTCTCAGCTTGCACAGATCGTTAGATTTTCAGATAAAGCTAACAAAGAACAAGCTGTGTTAAGGAATGAAATTGAATGCGAAGAGAGAAAAGGTAGAAACATTTCTTTGGAAAAACAAGGCTATCACTGAATTCTTATTTGAAAATATTTCTGAGCAATATGCTGCTGCAATACTTCTTGAATGCCCACCTTGATATGTAGAGTAGCTACAGTTGAAAGAAGCACCTCTACTTTATAGAGAGCAAAAGTAATTTTTATCTCTACAATACAGCAAAGTCGTCTGATGGGCTATGTTTAAATAGCTACAAATTTTGGTTTCCTAAGGGAAAATGATGCCAAGAGCATAAGAAGGGTTGTTTGCTTCTGCCAGGACGGGAAAGCCGCACATATCTGGGCATCAACTTTGGACATAATAGAATATTTAGCATATCGTGTTGTGAAACAACGCAGGGAATCTTAAACAGTTTACTTACTTCTTATGTTAACACCATTCACACGGTTGTTGTTTAATTATGTCGACATGGGGGCCCCTGTCTAAATTTTGAATCAAGGGTAGTTTATTCCAATCCAATGTTGAGTGGTGCTGCTGGTATTGGTAGTGCACCTAAATGCTTCATTTTGGTATAAATAGCGTCCAAAATTATCTTCGCTATATATAGATCCGTTCCTTGCTTGCTGAAAGTTAACATTATAGTAGGAATCAAGGTGAAGATGTTCGTTTTCACGTTGCCAAAAATCAACTAATTGCTCCGTAGCGCTGTACCCTCTAACGTTTACAAGTTCTACATGTATAGGAGCTTTACTTATGTAACAGCAAAGTGGATCAAATGCAGAAAGTTTGAATCTGAAGTAATCTTGATAATCAACACCAAAAACATCGAAGCTGCATGTTGCCCTCCAGTGGGTTGATCTTGACTTGATTTTCTCGATCCTTGTCTTGCTGAGTCTAAAAAGATGGGTAACTACAAATTAAGAAAAATATCGACTGTTTCTGGCGACACCCTCTCATACTTTTTTTGGAACTTTGAGAGAATTGGAATTGAAAGTTTCTAAAATAACTAATTAAACAAACTCATATCTTTATATGTTATATAAACAAATTCATAAATAACGTTTTTCTAAATAACATCTTTTAGAAAAAAATTTAACGATTGTTTATAAATGTCAAAAGCACTTTCATAGCAAACTGTTTTTTTCATTGATCAGTACTGTGAGAGCTCCCTTAGAAACCCCCTTAACTTCTATTCTATTTTTAGTATTTTCATATAGAGAGGGTGGAAAGAGGCGAGAGGGAGGTCGAAAAGAAGCTAGGACGAAAAGATTGTGAGAGCAACAAAAGTTGACGGTATTCTAGTGGAAAGGGGAAATTTTTTGCTGTCATCGTTTTGTTCGAGCTTTATATCCTAATCTTGGAGAAGTTGAAGTATTTTTTCGAGTAGAATCTATGCGCCTTTGGATATTGGTTTGAATGAACAAGAACTCGTTTAATCAGGCTAACAGTAGTACCTTTACAAAGTCAGACGAGGCTCTTTCAGATTTTTTAATATAAGTATGGAAATGTAATATGAGTAATTACAAAAACTTCTAAAAAGGCATAAGCGCCTCCCCTTCGTTGACATCTAAAATGTACAAAATGTGTTTCCTTGCGCAACAGTTTCATGATAATTAAAAACACACAACAGTAAAAAGACTTAACCTGTAATTGTTCCAGTTTGGAGAATCTTTCAAGTACGGAAAATCAATTTTGAATGGCTTGTTTTTGAACAATTCGTTTTTTCCTAAAGAGAACGATTCGATCAGGGTCCATACTGAGTTTGGCTCTGATGTGAAATCGCAGTAAACTTTGAATTCAACTCCATCATCATCTGATATTCTGTATATCCCATTAATCATTGCAGAGTCGTATCGCCAATCAAGACATGAATACTTTCCTTTAAATAGAAATTCAAGAAGATAATAAAATCATTAGTGAATTGTATAGAATGCATTAAAATCTCAAGATGCAAGGAAAACCGATTTTTTTAATGGCTTCGCACTTCAATGTATTTAAAGCGAATTGTAGTGAATAATCCTTTCGTAACAAGCAGAACATGGATTATTTTGTTATTATTTCAATTTTCAAATTAATAACATTGATATATAAACAGCCAAATATAAATCAAAATCTTTCAAACCAGGGATAAACTTTCATACTTCTGGAAATCTTGAAAAATTTCATAGGAGAATTCTAGCCAAATAAAAAAGCCCTAAAGTCCACAATTTTTATTATTGAAAACCCCTATCACTTAGCTATTTATAAATATTAAAACCAAACTGGGTTATATGCTTCTTAAGTAATATCAATCCTTATATTATGTTCCACAAGAGGTTAACTAAAATTTTACTGTATGAAAATTGAAAATACTTTTTCTTTTCCATATTATCAGCTTTCTCCGGTCTTGAGTTATATCTCCTTCCTTATTGTGTGTTTCATACTTGTTTGTTGTCATATCCTTCACCACAAAATTGCACGGATTACTTTTACTACATTGGTGAAACGATTTATGAAACATGCTCGTCAGCTCCATATGTGGGTTGTGAATAACTTCGAACATTGCTGAGCCTCGATTATCCTCCCCGTGGATTACTTGGCTCAAAGTAAGCACAAGTAGACAACGTGTCAGGAAAACATACTTTCTTTTTGACATATTCTGCAAAGTAAAAGAGGCAAATACTGTTAATAGTTTAATTTCTATTTATTTCTAAAAACGTCAAAAAAACGTGACCTCTTCCTCGATCCAAATTCAACGTTCTTCTTATCAATAACCTGAACCTTGATTTAATTTCCAAAGTTGTATACATATACCGGTCTTTCTGGACTGAAAGTGTTCTCGTGAGATCTTTTCTTTTGAGAATGAAAGAGGACCAATGGTATTTCGAAAATTTCAGATGTGAAGGAACTGATTGAGATGTTGCAGTCCATACAACATTCATTTTTCATCCTTTGACTAGCTACATCTGCTAATTCATGCTAACTACAGTAACACCCCGATTAAATGCCTTGAAGACAGATATGTTCGTATGTGGGTCGGTAGGAATTGATGCGTGGATATTTTATTGTTATAAATTGAGCTTCT